GATATCTATCAAAACGCCTGCCATTTGAAATAAATATATTATTATTATTATTTGGACGTCGTTGTTTTGTTTTCTGTGTTAGATGCCCATTTCCCACCAATAAGAATATTGAAAGAATATTACTTAAAGCATTCTACTACTAAATCGATAAAAAAGTGTTATTAAAATTCTTATTCGCGGACAATATGAGAGGAGGACTATACGAATAAAACGCCCTCCCCCATCCCACCCCACCCCCGTGAAAACCCCATCACGTTCGACGTCAATACGAACCATGGTAAACGGAGATCAAGAAGCCCACGGGGGATTCAATTTTAAGCAACCGAAATTGTCATGCGGCGGTGCTTAGCTCATCACTAGTGGGTGTTGGCGTTAGAAAGTTAAATTCAATCCGAAACTTTTGAGCAAAAAATAAATTTGATGAACCGTCTTGGAGGGGGAGGTATTAAGTATAAGAGATCGAATTCAGTGCTTTTGTTGCTGTTGTTGTTGTCAAAATTTACAAAAGGCGCAGGCCAATGAAAACAACACTAGAACAGGAGGGAAGAAAGACTTTCTTACCAAAAGTCGACCACAAGGCGACACACGCATTGCCCAGATGGCGCCCTAGAAGAGAGAGAGAGAGAGCGCGAAGAAAGGTGCGGAGTAAACACAAACAGCAGCAGCAGCACTACTGGAAGGGTAATAACTTACAATGTGCTCATTGTCCAACTTCTGGACAAGTTTAATCTGCAGAAACTCCTTTTGGCCCTTCATCTTGCGCGAGCATCGTAACTACATACATAGCAGGGGAATGGGGGGGGGGAGGGGGGAAGAGAAGTGTGGTGAATGTGGACTAAGTAAAGGAGGTACGCTTATAGAGTGTACTCACCCGAATGCCCTGGTTTCCAATAACCTCGTCATCTTCTTCTGAGGAAGGCTCATCTTGGCTAAAAACTGAAAAATGGCAAAAAAAAATTGTAAAATAAAGAGAAGAGACTCTCACTAAGTGCCTGTTTAAAAATGGTTTATTGAGGCAAAAACCGCCCCCCCCCCGCCTCCCATGAACAAATTGTGCGGAGCACAAAATCTCGCGTGTAAAGGTTCAATGCTCATCACAGCTGGACCACCTAGCAACACAGCAGTTATGAATTCAGATGCTTCATGTAACAACAAAAAAACAAACAAACAAATGTCGATGTTAGAGATTAGAAAAAAGAAAATACTTTTTGCAGAACGAAAAATGGATAACCCAGTTCACCATTGAATTTTGTTTATTTAATGAGATAGTTGTCCCCGTTACTCTCACCGGTAATGAGAATTGGCGCAATATATTAATTGGGGGGGGGGGGGGGGGGGTTAATGCGAACTCTGCTTGACTCAAAGAATTGAAAACGTGGTAAGGAAGCAAACCCTTTTCCGACGACTTAGTGCACGGAGAGTCATCAGCTGAATAAAGACGAGATCATCAAGTAAATAATAATTGATGAAATTTTGATTATTGGATTACTCATGCTTTCTGTGGAAAATTTTGTGAAGTGGTTAGTTAGTAAGTGAAGTAGTTGCTGAGAAGTTAGAAATCGTCGATACGATTTCCATCCAGCACGGTTTCCTCACCAGGGTAGATCTATGATGCTGCATGCCCAGCCAAATAAAGAGGGCAGCAAAAGAGTGCCTCGAATAGGCTTTTAAAGGCAAGCCTATTCTAGCCTAACCCAATAAACTACTTGCGCAGTTGTTTAATAATTAGATCTGATTAAATTTTAATAACCCACTCGGAAGTTAGAATTCAATATCCAGACCCATGAATGTGAATATTATTATTGACATGCAAATTAACTTATCATCGATCCTTCAAATCAGCCACTTCGACGAATTCCATCCTGCCAATTGATGCAGTTAATCCAAGTGTGCTTTGAAGCGCAAGACCTCTAATGAATTTGCGATGGACCTTACTCAAATATTTTCGAGCATTCTCTCAACATGAACACTCACGACAATTGATTCAAATTTGGGACACTTTCACATAGCTCAGAAATCAGCTCAATCCGTCTTCCTGACTTAGTCTACAACTTAATGTCGGAGAGTAGTTCATACAAATATGTGACTGTTTCATTACATGCAATGCATTCCCACAATCTCTATTCCCGGCAAACACTGCTTAATTTTCACGTAAAGATTGACTAAAATTTCTTTCCAGCTACAAGAAATGAGAACTCACAAAGATGCATTCACGCAATCACAACGCTAGTAATAGAAGATCCTCTATACGGTGAAGTTGATAACCCGATTTCCCTAAGCATTTTATCAACATTCCACCCTATATTTCATTAAAAAAACCTAATGGAGTGAGTTGACTCAACTTTAAAAATTGACTCATTACCGAAATCCCAGCTTGATTCGGTTACACCAGCTAACTAAAACTCCATGTTGCTAACTCGCTGAGTCAGTGCGTTCCGATTAATTGAGCGTTGGCAGTCATATGACACCCTCCGTTTATTCTCAATCACAAATGACTAAAATATATCATTCAGCTGCATTTCACTCTCTGTCTCCCTCCCCCCCTCGAATACTCAATGCTTTGAGCTTTTAATCGGCGTTCACTAAAGCTCTCCAACCAAAGGCCACACTTTTCTTCAGCAACAGTAATATATATTTGACAAAGACACCATCGTTCTAAAACGCCACCAGCACGTTTGAATGGGTTTGAATTCATAACAAGATGCCTTACTTTTCGTGGCCTTGGTTGCCGACCGAACCGCGTTCACAGCCCCCCGAAATGCTGTGTGGAGTTTCCGAAACCTGAGAGAGACCAACAGCAGCCAAATTAATAGGTCAACGAATTTAGGACAAAAAGAATATAAGCCTTCAAATGCTTCGATCCAAAATGTGAGCCAACCTACCCAGAAATCAAGTTTGGATTGCGATGTGCTCCATTGCGTTTGCCTTCCGGCTTATCCAGACTTCCATTACCATGGAGACTTGACGCACTGCAAAAACGGGCGTAGCAAAAGAGGTTGAGCTATTAGAAATCCCAAAGGTAGGTGGGATAGAGCAAAAGCAACTAAGCCAAATACAATTTCAAACGGTGTAAATTGCAAAAAAAAACAAGACAATGGGGGAGGGTGGGTGGGGGGTGGACACCGTGAGGAGAAGGAGTTAAAGCAGTAGACAAGGTACAACCGATTTTGTTGGGTAAAGTGTTTTGGTGATAGCTTTCTTTTCACTTACTTGGCCTTCAAAGTAGCATCCTGGCTAAGTAATCATTGTTGGTAAAGGCAAAAAAAGAACCAAATCAATTGATTAGTTGAATGGCAAAGAAAAAAAGGAGGTGGGGG